ATCGAACTGATCTGGATCTTAGATTCGAGCTGCCCTGACGAAACGTTTGAGCTGCTTGCAGTCGAGCCGCGCGAGGTGCGCGACCAGCTCGAGCTAAAGACCTGATTAAGTTCCGAAACGGGACGGACCAAGAGAGGGTGAGCCCGAACCGACGCGAAACGCGCCAAGAATGGACGGGCCGAAGCGCGGCGAGTCAAAGTGCGACGAACTGCATCAAGACGAACCGAAACACTGCGAACCGAGACGAACGCCGAACCGACCCTGCTCGAAGCGAGACAAAACAAGCCAAGACTAGGAAGAAACGACGACGCTTCGGATCACCGTCCTGAGACCCTATGGCGTCTCCTAACGAGGGAGCCGCATTCCGCGATCCTGGCGGAAATTGTGATTGAACCGTGCTGTGCTGCACTGTGCTGCGTCATGCCGTGTTGAACTGTGTTGTTTTCTGGTGTGTAGTGGATCAAGCCATCCTTGGCACCTCAATCCTGTACGAACTGATCTGGGTCTTGAGCTCAAGCTGTCTACGTAGCTGGCCCGCCCACAATAGATCGCAATCGAAATCTGTGGGGCGTTCAACCAGCTCGCAATCAAGACCCGTTTCAGTCCCGAAGCGGGACGAACTGAACGGGAGGTGATTCCGAACCGAAACGAAACACACCGACATGCCGACGAGGCCCCCGCTCGAAACGCCCTCAAACAATGCAAAACCAGCGGCTCGTGAGAGGCACTCTCAAAACATCCTGCAGAACTAGCGTTTCGCTGCAGGCGAGGACCTCGTTCAAAAAATCCTCCACAAATCCTGCGGAACAAGCGTTTCGCTCGAGACGTCATCAACACATTCACGTACTAGACGCCCACCTGGGCGACCTGGACACATGTAAACAAGCGTTTCGCTCGAGATATCCTCAGCAAGTCTCGCATTTGCCTGGGCGACCTGGACACTTGAAAACAAGCGTGTCGCTGAAACTATCTTCAACACATACTCATGTTACATATTCTTCTGGGGGACCCGAAAGCAAGCGCTTCGCTCTAGACATCCACCTGGGCGACCTGGACACATAGAATCAAGCCTTTCGCCAGAAAGATCCTCAACACATTCTTATGTTAGACATCTGCCTGAGCAGCCTGGACACCTGAAAATAAGCGCGTCGCCCGAGACATCCTCAACATATCCTCATTTCAGACATCCACCGTGGCGACCTGGAAATGTGAAAACAAGCGTGTCGCTCAAGACGTCCCCACCGAATCCTCATCACGATAATGTTGAGGATGTGCGGAGCGCGTCGCTCGAGACCGTTTGCCGTGGGTAGCCTGGACATTGGACATGTGAAAACACGCGCCACGTGCTTCAACCCCCGACGGATGTTAGAAACTCCCTTCCGCGCACGCGTTCCTACAAGCGGGGAGCCCGACGACCACATGTTAGATATCCCCCCCCCCTGCGTGCCAAAGGCAGACGCGCCTGACCCATGTTAGATACCCCCTCGTCGCGCATATTTTACGTGCGAACCGACCGACGACCTCGTGCTCGATATCCCACTGGGTGGCCTGAACACGTGAGAACACACGCGCCAAATGCACAAGCGCCCGACGCTTGTAGATACTCCCTCCCCCTGGGTGCCGAGGTGGCCTGGAAACGCAAAAAAACGTGAGCCCAGGTCGAGACAGCCATGTTAGAGACCCTCCCTGGGCGGCCTGGACACGCAAAAACACATGGTTCCAGCTCGGGGCAACCATGTTGGAAACCCCCTTGGGGACGCGAGAGCCCGAGGCCCCAGCTCGGAACAGCCATGGTAGATGCCCCTTTTGGCCAACCAGGACACGCAAAAACATATGACTCCAGCTCGGGGGAACCATGTTAGATATCCCTCTGGTTATGTTGCTCCCTTTGTACCTGAGGACCACATCCCAGACATCATTTTGAGCACCCGGAGAAGTGTCGACACAGCGTCGAAATAGCGTCGAACGAGTGTCCCCCAGGGCCCGACACGTGAAAACCCTAGAGTTTCGGTACTTTCGTCGTGCTCGACATTCCTCCTGGCGGTTCAGGCTCAAGTAGGTTGGAACATCATTGACTACCTGCCAGACCACCCCAACCCAACCCGAAGACCCGAATTTCGGGTTGGGGGGGGTAAGGGTTCCACACGTGTTTTTTCGACGTTTCCCGACCCCCCCCCACTGGAAATCGAGGGTAAATCTGAGCCTTCGGGTTGGGTTGGGGTGGTTTGGTGGGTGGTGAATCATAACCCTCTAGGTGGCCTGGACACGTAATAACAAATTGCTCCAGCCCGGAACAACCATGTCGGTGACCCCCGTCGGAAGCCAGTAATCTACGGCCAGCTATTGCACAGATGGTGTCGATGTGTTGTTTTTCTTTTTCTTGTGGGCCTCACTTTTGGGCCCCCACTGTTGGGGGCCCGAACGACTACACGTTAGATATTCGCCCCCTGGGTGGCCTGGACACATACAAGTACAAGGTTCCAGCTCGGGACAATCATGCTATACACCCCTCTTGGTGGCGTGCACAAATGAAATAAATGGTTCCAGCTGGAGGAAATATGTTAGATACCCAAATGAACAGCCTGGACACACACACACACAAATACACCTGGTTTCAGCTCGGGACCGTGTTTGATACCCCTCTGGGTAGCCTGGACACGTGAAAAAACATGGTCCCAACTTGGGACAATCATATTAGATACCCTCTCTGGGTGGCCTGGACACGTAAGAATGCTTGGTTCCAGCCCGGGGGAACCATGTTAGATACCCTTCTGGGTGGCCTGCAGACATATGCACACCTGGTTCCAGCTCGGTGCAACCGTGAACATCCCTTCTGGGTGGCCTGGATACATGAAAACACGTGCAAAGTGCACGGTCGCCAGGCGCATTTTGTATACTCCCTCCGCGCACGTGCGTCTACGTGCGAAGAGCCTGAGGACCTCATGTAAGACACCTGCCTGGGCGACCTGGACGAGAAAACAAGCGTTTCGCTCGAGACATCCGCAACAAGTCTGTATAGTAGACATCCACCTGGGCGACGTGGACACCTGAGAACAGGCGTTTCGCTCGAGACATCCTCAACCAATTCTGAAGAAAGAGCGTTTCGCTCGAGACATCCACGACAAACGAACAATATCTTGCGGAATTTGAAAAACCATATCCTCAACAATTCATCCGCCAACCCTATTCGAAATCGTTCTTTTCCGAAGAAAGAATCCGCCGGTCCGCTTCCATGGCACCCGGGGCAGTGGAACACAGCTGAAAGATAATCCTGGGCTGGAGCCCTTTCTGAGAAACATGATCGACCCACGAACCCAGAAAAGTATTTAGAACCGCGAGGCCTGGCGATGCTTCCAAACACCTCAATTAGAAGATGGGCAGTGGCAATGCTGAAGGTATCAATGGTGATGACACTGTGCCAGGGGCTGTGTTGTGCTTTTCTGCGCCGTGCCGCTCCGCACAGTGACATGCCAGGGGGCGAGCCACGGGACGTGCCAGTGGACGTGCCAGGGGACGTGGCAAGGGACTCGCCGCGCGATGTGCCTAGGGGACGCGCCACGGGACGCGCCACGCAACGTGCGGGGGGGACGCGCCACGGAACGTGCCAGCGGACGTGCCAGGGCACGTGCCAGGGAACGTGCCAGGGAACGCGCCCGAGGGTCACGATCCCTTGTAAATTACTCTTCGTCCGCACTCCCAGGGCTTAAGGTCCCTCATCAATTATACTGGATTCGCGCTCCAAGGGCCGCGTTACTCAGCAAATTGCACTGGAGTCGCGCTCACAGGGCCACGATCCCTTGTAAATTGCACTGCGCCCGCGCTCCCAGGGCCAGGATCCCTTGTAAATTACGCTGAGTTCACGCTCCAGGGGCCACGAACCCTTGTAAATTGCGCTGCGCCCGCGCTCCCAGGGCCAGGATCCCTCATGAATGGCGCTGCGTCCGCGCTCCCTGGGCCACGACCCCATGCGAATGACGCTGCGTCCGAGCTCCGGGGGCAACCGAGCACCTCGCGGAAGATGGCCAAAAGAGCCCCTCCGCTCCCAAGAGCAGAACACAATACTTCCCTGCTTCGGGATCTATGTTCGGGGGGCGCGTTTCGGCCCCCGTCGTTTCCTGAAAATTTTGTGCTGGACCCGAAGGCGCGAATCCTCGTCAATTACACGGCGTCCGCGCTGCCAGGGCCAATGCAATGCCAGGGGCCACGATCCCTTGTAAATTACACGGCGCCCGCTCCCCCAAGGACACGATCCCTCCTAAATTACGGTGCGTTCGCGCTCCCTGGGCCACGATCCCGTGTGAATTACACGACGTCCGCCCACCCTGGGTCACGCTCCCTAGCAAATCATAATGCGTCCGCGATTTCAGGCCAGGATCCCTAGTAAATTTCGCTGTGCCCGCCCCCCCACGGTCCCTCCTAAATCACGATGCGTCCGCGCGTCCAGGGCCAGGATCCCGTGTAAATTGCGCGGCGCCCGCGCTCTCATGGCCACGACCCTTCGTAAAATTATCGTGCGGCCGCACTCCCATTAACCACTGGGGCATCCTGGGGCGCCCAGGCCCTCAAGTTCTGAAAAACATTCGCGGGACTCGAGATACGCTCGAAATTTCTGCGCGCAGGGTCCTCGAGCGGGCGCGCAACAAGTCATCATTCTCGTATTTTCTGACAAGTTTGAGGGTCTCCAGATTTCGTAGGGTCTCTGCGCAAAACGCTTCCAAGCCCCCGAAGGTCCGCGGACCCCGTTAAGCATCGAGGGTCCGAGATGCGGGGCGCATTTCTTCGAGCGGGCACGCGCGAAACACATGTTCGTCCACCCAGAATTGGACTTTACGCACGCATTTATCCCACCCAGAATTCTACTTTACCTCGATAACTATCGCACAACAATTCGCCAGCTCTCTTCAGGCATGGCACAGGGGACAAGTCGCCACATTAGAAGAAAACCCTGGACCGACGCCCTTTCTGGGAAAACAAAAACAGAGGAGGAGAAGAGGGGCGGCGAAGAGGTGGGAGGAAAGGAGGGAAGGGGGACAGAGGAGAGAGAATACACAAACATGTGTGACAATTGTGTATTCATAGCAACGGCTGCTGATCCTAGCTTGCTATGGTGTGGAAAACAGGTCGACGCCCACGCTGCGCCGCGCAGACCGGGCTTCCAGCCCCTCACATGTTCAGCTCCTGCTCGCCAGCGAGCACTGCTGCTGCTTCCACTTCTGCGGCTGCCCCTGCTGCGTCTGCTTCCGCTGCTGCGTCTGCTGCCGCTGCTGCGTCTTCCGCTGCTGCGTCTGCTGGTGCCGCGTCTGCTGGTGCTGCGTCTGCCGGCGGATCTGCGTCGCCGCCCTGTGGACCAGGCGTGGCGGAGCAGGATGGCTTTTACACGGACGGGGTGCCGCACGGTCAGGGCGGAGAAGTCGATGGGGAAGGCAGCAGAAAAAAGGCGAGGGAGCGCGAGGTCCACGTGTGCCCAGTGGAAGGGCGAGGGAGCCAGTGGCTACCCCCATCGTCCCCCTGTGCGCCCTGGACGGGGCCCACTCGCAGCCCCGTGCCGACCTGGCTCTCGCTCTGCGAACTCCCGCGCAGAATGTCAAACTGCCCTGTTTCCGACCGCGGGGGGGATGGCCAATGGAGCTTTACACTGGCACAGGCCGCGCCAACACGAGCAACGCATGAGGTAAAGTTGTGCATCAGTTGACCGGAGTGGCTGTCACGAGCGCCCTTACCAATGCTGGCACTCTCCCTGGTACGACCACTGCCACAATCACTACCAACGCCACTACCACTAAGACAGCGTAACTCTGAAGGAGGGAATGGAGGTAAGCGGCCACCACAACGACGAAGCCTCTCAGTGATGCAAGCGCGAAGCCATTGAACCACCTTCTACAACGATCGATTCGCACGCCCGGAAAAAGCTTTAGGACCGCGAGGCCCGGGGACGCTTTCGAGCACCTCACATAAACTATGGGCAGCGGCAGTGCTGAAGACATTTATGGTTATGATACTGTGCTGAGGGCTGTGTTGTGCTGCTCTGCGCTGTGCCTCCCCGCACGGTGACGTGCCGATGGACGCACCACGGCACGAGCCAGTGGACGTGCCAGGAGACGTGCCAGCGGAGGGCGCCACGGGACAGAGGGGCGCGCCGCGGAACGTGCCAGCGGAAGTGCCAGGGGACGTGCCAAGGACCCCCGCTGGAACGGGAGAGTAGGGTCCGTCCTGGGGGGTCAGGAAGCCACGTGTTCTCACGCCTGTCCCGCCCTGGGGCGTTAGGAACTCATGTGCTCTCACGCCTGTTCCGCCCTGGGGCGTTGAGAGCCCATGTGTCTTCATGATTGTCCCGCCCTGGGGCTTTTGGGTACCGCGTGTTGTCACTATTGTTCCGCCCTGGGGCGTTACAAGCCAATGTGTTTTCACGCTTGTCCCGCCCTGGGGCGTTGGAAACCCATACGTTTTCACGGGTGTCCCGGCCTTATGCGTTTTCGAGCATGTCCCGCCTGGGGACGTTCGGGACCCACGCATTTCCACGCTTAGGTCGGGCATGTCCTCCAACAGGCGAGTTTTGAACGAAACCTAAAAACCAAAAAAACAAGAAAATCATAATGCTCAAACATAGTCAAACAAAATCGCAAAACCGTCCCCAGACTATTTGTTGACTATTCTCGATGCTCCTCCCGTAGAGGGACACGCCCGACTTAACTCCACGCCTGTCCCGCCCTGGGGCGTTAGAACCGGTGTGTCTGCACGCTTGCCCTGCCCTGGGAACTTCAGGATCCCACGCGTGCTCGCGCTGGCCCCGCCGCCTGGGGCGACAAAGCCCCGGTGCCCCGCACCCGGGGCGAAACCGATTTCCACATGGGTTCCAAAAACGGCCTTGCCTTCGAGGATACAATGAGTTGTCATCTTTTCCGCCGCGGAAGGCGGAAGGTCGGCGGAAGTTAAACGAGGCCGCCTCCGCTGGCGGATGCCGGCGGAATCTCGGCGGAAGGCGGCGGAAGTAAACAAAACGCGTCCAAAAGATGAAAACGTTCGTGGGTACAAGATTTCCGAAATCCGCCACATGGTTTCGCGCTTGTTCCGGTTCCGCTCTTGGGCGGGAAGGAGCCGCGTGTCTTCACGCTTTTGCCGCCCGAGGGCGGAAAAGCACACGTACTGTTCACTTTCGTTCCGCCCCGGAGCGGGAAAGAATCGCTCCGCCCTGGTGCGCCCGGTGCCCCTATGTTTTCACGCTTCTCCCGCCCTGGGGCGTTGGGAACCCATGCGTTTCCACACCCGTCCCGTCCGGGGGCGTTGGGAAGAACTGCTTTCACGCCTGTCACGCCCTTGGGCGTGAAGAACCATGTGTCCATGCTTCTCCCGCCCTAGGGCGCTAAGAACCTATGTGTGTTCACGCTTGTCCCGCCCTGGGGCGAAAACGAACCACGTGTTTTCACTCTTGTCCCGCCCTGAGGCGACAAGAATCCACATGGCTTCACGCTTGTTCTGCTCTGAGGCGAAACAGGTCCCGCGTGTGTTCACGTTTGTTCCGCCCAGGGGCCAGGGGCGAACAGAACACACGTGTTGTCACCGTTCTTCCTCTCTGGGGCGAAGAAGACTGGCGTGCTTTCACGCTTGTTCTGCTCTGGTGCGTTGGGAACCCATGTGTGTTCACGCTTCTCTGGCCCTGAGGCGTGAGGAACCTATGTGTTTTCACGCTTGCCTCGCCAAGCGGCGAAACAAGACCCAAGTGTTTTCACGCTTGTCCCGCTATGGGGACGTCAAGGACCCACATGTTCTCACGGTTGTCCTGCTGTGGGGCATTAGGAACTCATGTGTTGTCATGCTTCTTCCGCTCTGGGGCGACAAGGACCCACGCACGTGTTTTCATGCTTGTTCCGCTCCAGCGCATTTGGACCCATGTGACTTTACGTTTGTCCCGCTCTGGGGCGTTAGGAGCCCTGGTGTTTTCGCGCTTGTGCCTCTCTGGGGCGTTCGGAACCTACGTGTTCTCACGCTTGTCCCGCTCTGGGCCGCAAGAAGATTCGAGCTGTTTTCACGCATGTCCCGCTCTGGGGGGCGTTAAGAACACACGTGTTCTCGCGTTTGCCCCGCTCTGGGGCGTTGGCAACACACGTGTTGTAGCGCTTGATCCCGCTCTGGCAAGTAAGGAACCATGCGCTTTCGCGATCGTCCCGCTCGGAGGCGTTAGGAGCCCATCTGTTTTCACGCTTGTCCCCCTCTGGGACGTTAGGAACCCATGTGTTTCGCGCTTGTCCTGTCCGGGGGCGTTAGGAATAATTGTTTTCACGCTTGTCACGCCCTCGGGAGTTAAGCATCATGTGTGTCCATGCTTGTCCCGCCCTAGGGCGCCAAGAACCTATGTGTGTTCACTGGTCCCGCCCTGGGGCGAAAACGACTGTGTTCCATCTTGTCCCGCCCTGGGGCGTTAGGAACCCATCGTTTTCTCGCTTACCTCACTCTGTGGCGTTCAGAACCCACGTGCTTTGACACATGTTCTGTTCTGGGGCGCTAGGATCGTGGATGCCATGACAACAGACACTCTAACAATACGATCATTTAATTAAAAATTGCGTTAACTGCGTAAAGCAAGTTCTAAACATGTTTTAAGCATGCTTTTTGTTAAAAACATAGTTAAAACATAGTTGACATATCTTTGAGACATCTGGCAATTATTTGGCAGCCTGCTTCCTCTCCATGCATCGACATCCACAACGCTAGAAACCCACGTGTTCTCACGCGCTTTCCTGGGGCACCGACGCCCCTCGCACCCTGCAAGGCAGAGCGCCTCGCTCGAGACATCCTCGAGCCGCCTTCGCGCAGGACGCGCCATCCTCGAGCGACCCCCGAAACATCAGACATCAGCACTTGATCATTTCAAGCAGAATTCTGGCACTTTCAGACTTCGTTATTCCTCGAAGACTCTGCGCAAAACGTTGTTTTTTCCCATAAGGGAACACGAGGGACTGCGGGCTCCGTCAACTATAGAAATGATCAGAGATGGGGGGCGCACTTTCCTCAGGCGGGCACGCGCGAAACGCATTCCCTTACAACAGCATGGAACTTTACCTCGTCATTGAGCGCGGATAATTCAGCTGGGCGTCTTCGAACATGGCGCCAGGGGCAGATTACTATACTACAAGAAAACCCTGGGCCCCAGCCCTTTCCGTGGAAATGCGCAGGCGGTGAAGTGAGAGACGAGGGAAGGGGTGAGAGAGAGACAGAGAGAGAGAGAGACAGAGCGAAAGGTAAGGATATGTATATATATATAGGTATATATGGACACATACCCAGAGAAGCGCAAGGAAGAATGGGTGTGCATTGCGAGCAGAACTCGGGCATGAGCTCAAGACTCGGTCAGGAGGAGGCAGAAATGGGGAGTATCGCCATATTCCCTGCTGCTCACTCCTGACTCTCCGCCGTGCTCGTCCACGCCCCGCCCGTCCGCGCCCCGCCCGTGCACCCCCAATCGCAGGCGCTGAGGATGGAGCGTGATCGGTAGGCACTTCCACCCGCGAGTCGGATCGGGTAGGTCGCGCACCCCGTCACCGTTGTATCGCCCACCGTTGTTACCACCCTCTGACGTGCGCGCGGGAACAGACGTTCGACACCGGCGGCGATCGGAGTGGCGAAAGCGGGACACACAGAAATTCGGAGCACCAGACATGGTCAGAGTCAGCGCGTTCCCGAAAACGCTGGCCACAGCATTCCCGATATGGTGGAAATCGGTCGAACCTCTTTTCCGCCCGCGCCCACGTGCACTACAGCAGTCACTCCCGCTGGCCACACCACCGCTTCATCACTGTAGTTGAACTCCCCCCTGACCGAGAAGGTAGCAACGGGAGTGAGAAGACTTTAAGGCGGCAGAGGAATTGGAAAGAGCGGCGGCGGCGATTGAGATCCTGGTCTCCCAGCTCGCTGCAGCACTTGTCATGGCACACAGTGCCATCGCTGGGTCCTCGCCGCGCCAGCACCATGACTCGCTCGCCACCCTCCGCGCTGCCGCTGCCCTTGCACACATACCTAGCTTTGGAGAGCGACGGCTGCACACTCAAACAAAAGGCTGTCAGAGCCAGCTCTTGCGGACAGAGGGGGCCCGCTCCACGGAGGTGACAGGGCTTCAAAGAAAACACACAAGCTCAAAACCCCAGCGGGCGTCCCCCTCGTGGAAGCAAGCCGACACCTCCCAAGGCCACTCATGCTCGCGCGCTTCCGCGACTCGGGCGCTCCGGAAGCCCCCAGAGAGGCTTCGAGCCTCTCGGGATCCAGCAAGAGCCACCACCCCTCACGTCTGGCAGACCCAGACATGCGACGTCTTGGTTTTTTTGAGGACGGCGTCCCCGGAAGTTCGACTACACGCAAGAGTGACCCTGGGTAAGAGTGACCTTTGGTGCGCGGCTCTTTGGGGACCGCGAGGGGCCAAACACGAGCGCGCAAGACGCTACTACTGCATCGCGTTCGGCGACTAGGGGGCCCCATTGTGCCCGCACCAACGGTCACTCCGGCGAAAGGTCATTCTTACCGTGTAGTCGAGGAAGTCCCGGCCCTTTCCCCGTGGCCGGCTTTTCGTCCCGCGTCATTTTTTGGCGCTCCGGAGGCCCAGCGAGGGCCCCCCAGGGCCGAAAATGGCGAAAAAACCTCCCGTCCGGATTTGTTCCGACGACGCGAGCATGTCTGGGTCTGGCAGACGACCAGGTGGACCACTCCCACGGCCCCACGCACGGGAGGCGCGCAGGCTCCCCCCGCCCAAACGCGCCGATCTGACGACACACCGCCGACCGGCCCGTGCACACTGCGCCCGCGGGACTCGCAGCACCCGGCCGGAGGCCAGGACGAGGACAAAGTCGGGCGACGGCAAACTTGAACAGGGACGGACCGCCCCAGCATTCCGATAGGCCTACCACGAAACGTTCGGAGAGCCCCGACATGTTCTAAGAACAGAAACACGGTTCTCATAACATGAAGCAGATGCCTCAAAACAAGACAGCCTCAGCCAGAAATGTTCTACGAACATGGTTCGCAGACCACAAAAGGTTCTTAGAACATTCCTCTGTGGACTTATAGGCGAGCCAGGACGCTTCGCCACTGCTTGACAAATCGAGAATCTCTGAGATCTGGCGGCTAAGGTCAACCCAGACATGGTCGCGTCGGGAAAACATCAGGACGGCAAGTTCCTCGCTATTCCCGACCCCTGGGGGCCTTCGCCGGCCCCCGGGAGCGTCAAAAATCGTCTCAGGATGAAAAGCCGGCCCCAGGGGAAGGGTCGGGACATCTGGGGACGCCGCACTGAAAAAAATCAGGACTTCGCGTGTCTGGGGACGTCTCAGGCGTCGTGGCCTTGTCGGAGCGTCCCCGACCACTGCGTGAGAAAATTCCAGAACGCTCTGGAGAGGATTCATCCTCGCCCTAACCTCGTCCGATGCGGCGCGTCCCGGCCGGAGTTGCGAGGGAGCCCACCGGTGGCGACGATAAGCCTCCTGGAGGCCCGCCGCGAAGCGACACACGCCCGAACACCCCGGTCCCACAGACTGTCCTCCGCCCGCCGGCCGCCCACTGATCGGTGGGTGCCAGCTGGGTGCCTGCTACCAGTCGTCGTGCTACATTGAAGGAGGAATGTTCGCCAACGTGGAGCCCGAAGTGTGTTTTTCTAGCAAAATACGTGGGCCATTTCATGTGGATCACAAAGATGTTGTGCAATAGCTGTGGTGCAACCAATGTTGTGCAATCTGTGTGGTGCAACCTATGTTGTGCCACTCATGTGGTGCAATCGATGTGGGGCACTCGACGTGGTGCACCATATGTTGTCGAATCTACGTGGTGCAAAAGTATGCGGTGCGATATGAACATTTCTTATGTACACACACACATATATATACGTATAAGAATGGTGCAATCAGAGTGGTGCGACCTATGTTGTGTAATCAATTTGCTGCAACACATGTGGTGCAACCTTTGGGATGCAACTTATGTTCATCAATACGTCGGTTGCCATATATATATGCATGTATACATACATTTATATATATAGATATATGTTTGTGTATGTATGTATGTATGTACACATATGTATAGAGTGCAATGTGTGTCGTACAATATATGGGATGGCATATATGGTGTAGTATTTGTGGTGCGCGATTTCCGTTTCTACCTATGTTGTGCAATCTATGTTTTGCAATGTGCAAATGCATCTGCGCGGCCGCGCTAGCTCGCGCATGCTCGCGCGCGAAGCGGCCAGTTGGTTTGGCACCACCGACGCGGCCGCGGTGGCGATGACCGCTGGGCAGTCTCCAGCGGGCACTTGCATGCGAGTCTGCGACTTGGGCGGGCGCGGGATCATGGCAATGACGACAAAGGTCGACACGAGAATGGTGGTAGCGATGCTGGTGGCGATGGTGACAACGACGACGGCACGGCCGGTGACGGCGCCGGTGCTGATCACGCCGACGACGATGACGGCGTCCTCGCGTCGGTGATGCAGGTGTTGGGAAGAGTTCGACATGTGCGCGCTGCCGACGCGCAAGTGGCCCGCATGGTGAGATTTGACACGGATCGTGCCCCCCAACACGCGCGCAAGAGCGTTCGAATGATGTCGACGACATGCGGCGCGAGAGTCCCGCTTGGTCGAATTTAATGAAACTGTTGAAGAATCATTGGTTTTCTTAAGAATATGCAGGAGCGCGAGCGCAGGCATTATGAAGTTACAAAACCATGCGTTCTCTTAAGAAGTTACAAAGCCATGCGTTCTTATATGTTTCGGAACACTCGATTTTCACAGCAGTACGAGACTGAATGCTTCGAGAGGGCTTCCGCATGCGAGCGCGACGCCGCGCGCGTGTGCACTGCGCTTTTTTGTTGCAAGGGATTCTTGCGACAGCACGCGCGCATGGGCGTTCTTGCGATTTCGACATGCGTGCGCGAGGGGCACGTTTGGTAACATGTTATGAAAACGTTGGACAACTACGGCGTTCTGTAAGAATTTGAACGAGCACGAACACAAGCTTCAGTTGAAAACCCGTGTTGCAAAGACATGTATATTTTATGTGCTTTCGGGACACTCGACGTTTAAATCCGAGAGAGCGTGATCCACTGCCGCTTTACTGTGGAAAATTCCCCCCTCTCTTCCTCCAGAACCCGGGATTCCCCCCCCCGAACTCCTCCGAAAATCTCCCCCCCTGCTGGAACCCCGGCGAACCCCCCTCTCCCCTACCCCCCCCCCCCCGGAAAACCAGGGGGGGTCACTACCGGTTCGAAACCCCCCCCTCCTCGATCTCGAAAACCGGGGGGGGCCACAACCGGTTCGACCCCCCCCCCTCCAGAAAACCAGAGAGAGGTCACTACCACTTCGAACACCCCCCCCCCCTCTGAAAACCGGGGGGGGGGTCACTACTGGTTCGACCCCTCCCCCCCCCTCGAAAACCGGGGGGGGGTCACTACCGGTTCGAACCCCCCCCTTCGAAAACCGGGGGGGGTCACTACCAGTTCGAAGCCCCCCCCCCTCGCTCACCGCCAGCAAACGACTCCCCGTCCCTACCACCGTCCGCACCAGAACCCCCACTGCTGTCCCCAGCACCACTGTCCTCACCACCGCTGTCCCCACTGTTCCCACCACCGACACCACTGTCCTCACCAGTGCCCCCACTCACTGTCGCACTGTCCCCACTGTACCCACCACTGTTCCCACCACGGTTCCCACTGTCCCACTGTCCCCACTGTACCACTGTCCCCGCCGCTGTCCCACTGAGCTGTCCCTCTGTTCCCACCACTGTCCCCACTGTCCCCACCACTGTCCCTACTGTACCTCTGTCCCATTATCCCACCGCCGTCCTCGCCACCGCCCTCACCACTGTCGCCACCACCACTGCACCCTCCACTGTCCCACCACTCTCCCCACTTTCCCCACGGTCCCCACCACTGTTCCACTGTCCCCAGTGTTCCCACCACTGTCCCACGGTCCCCGCCGCTGTCCCCACTGTGCTGTCCCACCGTCCCCACTGTCCCCATCACTGTCCCAGTGTCCCCACTGTCCCCACCACTTGCCCCCCTGTACTACTGTCCCACCACTGTCTTCACCACCGCCTTCACCACTGTCCCCGCCACTACCGTCCCCACCACTGTCCCACTGTCCCCACCACTGTCCCGCTGTCCCCTCACCACTGTCCCCATCACCACCGTCCCCACCACTGTCCGCACCACTGTCCCACTGTTCCCGCACCACTGTCCCCACCACCACCGTACCCACCACTGTCCCAACATCCCCACCTTTCTCCAACTGTCTCGAGGAGCGGGCATCGTTTGCCGGCGAAGGGGGGGGGGAGTTCGAACCGGCAGTGACCCCTCCCCCGGATTTCCAGGGAAGAAGGGGGGGGTCGAACCGTCAGTGGCCCCCCCCCCGGTTTCATGATGGACGGGGGGGGAGGGGTTCGAACCGGTAGTGACCCCCCCCGGTTTTCCGGAGGGGGGGGGGTATAGTGACCCCCCCGGTTTTCCGCCAGCAACGGTAGAACACGCTCTTTCTAATATCCCAACGAAAGCACAAGTTTCTTGAAATATTCCTGGAGTTCCGCATGCGCGCGCAACGACGCGCGCGTGTGCAATCCCGAGGGTTTTGTTAAAAGAGCTTGCGCGCATAGTATTGCTTCCGGGGGGGAATGGGGGGATTGCCAGTTTGGCTGGGATGATCCGAATTCTTATTTCGGATGGACGATGGGGCAGAATCGAATATAACTTGCAATGCGAAACGTGGTATCGAAGTCCAGGGGGCGAGGGGGGTAGATCCGATTAATCTGTTTAAGCGGGGGATCGACGTTTTGCAAACTATGCTGTGCAATCCATGTGGTGCGATACATGTGGTACTATCGAGGCGTGCAGCCTATGTTCTGTAATCTACGATGTGCAGTATAGGGGATGCAATTCATGTGTAGTCTACGTTGTGCAGTCTGTGTTGTGGAATCACTGTTG